ATACATACATACATACATACATACATACATACATACATACATACATACTTACATACATACATACATACATGCATACATGCATACATACATACATACATACATACATACATACATACACATACAGAGACAGACACACTCACAGGTTTGGAGGTTGACATATGACCGTAACTAACCAAATCACCTTATACCACATCAAAGAGGCCAGAGATGTATACAACTTTTTAAGGAATTGCCGGTGAGTTTTCTTTAATTTGGTTGTGACGATGATACCTCGCTCTAATGATGTTCGTCACATGACGGACGAAAGCTTAACACCTTTTCGCCGGAATCGAGTGAGATTGCTTCGGAAACAACGTCAACAGGAATGTTCCAGTAAAGCCAATCGACAGCTGGTCAAGAGAAATCCGGCGTCGTCTTCTGGTGGAACCGACCTTCGAATCTCTTCACCAAACACTTTCACTTGAAAAGAAAGTAAGCACAACAAATATTAAATAATCTGGCTAATTATCTTTCCTAGTGGTCGTGGTACGTTTACTTGTGTGTGTGCTGGTTGCGTGTGTGCTCACACGTGGTATCGTCACGGCAACGATAGGTTTTCCAGAAGAGTATACAATCGTGCAGCCGCCGGATCTCGACGATGGGTAATATTTCTCACTGAAAGAAGCTAAAAGCATTTGAGTTTCTTTGAACAATGGGTTTATCCTCAATTTTCTCACAAGTTTGCCCATCATCTTGGAAGGAAAACATAACAGAAAGATTAGCGCAAGAGTAATCGTCTCAGCTTGCCTACCAATTGGTTCCATAGAACACATCATTTGCCCAGTTAGCAAATCACATCATGTCCCACCGCAACTTATCACATTCTATTTCACTCCAACCTATCGTATAACCACAAATCAGATCAATAATAAAGTGTTTCTCTAGAACGCATCATTCAGAAATCTACCAAAACACATTAATTCTTAACCCATCTTATCATATCCTATTCCACTCAGACCTACCAAATCATACCACAATAGATCCGAATTTAACGTGATTCTCTAAAACACATCATTCGCCAAGTTATCAAATCACATCATATCCCACCGCAACTTATCACATTATATTTCACTCCATCCACAAATCAGATCCTAATTTGCGTGGTTTTCTAGAACGCATCATTCAGAAAGCTACCAAAATACATCATTTCCAAACCCATCTTTTCATATCCTATTCCACTCAGACCTACCAAATCATACCACATCATATTCGACGTTAACTTGTTTCTCTAAAACATATCATTTGCCAAGTTATCAAAATCACATCATGTCCCACCGCAACTTATC